ACCGCTTCCCGGGCTACACCGGTGCACGCGTTCAATAATTGTATGGGCCCCTTTCTATCGTCTTTGGTCTTGCTTTTGACGTAATTCACGAACTGACGCGTCAGCCTCCGATAGCTTCCAGGATGAACATTAAACAGTGAAGGGCCAATTCTTAGTAAATCCAGACCCTCCGTAATGGAACCCAAATGACGGAAGTCACCTAATCCGTTATGTTGTTGTTCACCTACCGCGAGATTACATTGACTTTCAGAATTCAATTCAATGCAATCTTTCTGCAATCTTCAACACAGTTTCCAATGCGATTTTTTGAGGACTATAAAAAACCCGACCTGTTGATATGTTCTAATCCGTCTCTGCCTCTGGTCAATGATGCTCTGAGCTCAGCCAACTTTACCTTGGCTTTAGCCGTCAGGAGTTGTTTTTTGTGATCAGTCTTCATTGCCCCTGACTTAAGCTCAAGTTTCTCTTTATGTCGGCTAAAAACCCCGGAGCCCCCAAACGAGTCCTAGAAGCTATACTAGCCCTGCAGTTCCTGGCTGAAAATGAAACGCGTTCGACTGGCCCGGTTTTTACTAAAATTTTTCATGGTTTTTGAAATTGACCGACAATAACGATGAGAACTTTAACGAGCGTATCGGTTTATTGAGCAACGAGAAACAAGGTTAGCAATCAAACCGGCAAAATTCCGAACGAATTGCCACGCAAATGTGCCGTACTATAAAAATAAAATTAGTCACACAAATAATAATAATAATAATGTTTATTCCCAACTTGTGGGTGGCATAGCGTCCTGGCATGTTATACGATACAAAAATACAAACCTCGACGGCTTTCGAAAAACGATGAGGCACTCCAAAAAACAAGCAAATTTGATATGGATTAGCGGTCAACGCGTGATTGAATCCGGGTCGCGAACTCATGCAGTTAAACGAATTTGTAACTGACCAAGGTCTTGGTACAAAAATAGCATAACAGAAGCAGCAAACCCGATTTTCGCTGGAAGGCAAACGGGAAAAATAAATGTCTTGCCAAACTGAAATGGAGTTCAATTACAACAGTCCAAAAGGGCGGTCCATTTGTTAACCGAGAAGGTAGCCATTCAAACGAGGAGCAACTTTAAAGAAAGTTGCAACACGATCATTCTACGTCCTAGGCACACACATGGAATTTCTCTGAAATCGTGGTCCGAAAAGGAAAATCTTCAACATAAAGTTTTTAGCATTTGATGGTAATTATTCGGGCGCTTAAAATGTCTGCCGTTGGATCCGCGCATTGTCTCTGTGAAGACGGTGGGAAATTTTGTGGAAGGGCTGGTTTTTTTGTGTGCATTCTTACGTATAAGATTTGGAAATAAACTGAAAACAACCTAGAGAATAATCACGCCCATTACGTCCGCGCCACCTCAAATTGGAGCGGCCATTTGCTACCTGAATATGAATGATTCTGCTGCTTGTACGGCAAGTGTCCCGCTGAATCATCGCTATTGTGTTTTTTGTTTTTTGTGATGTTCGGCATATAGTTAATCGGGATTAAGGCAAGGTTTAAGTCCTCACCTGTATACCGAGCCATCAGTAGTGCCGTTGAGTGAACTATTGTGTTCGTGGGCAGAACAATCAGACGGCACAATATGATGCTTACTGCTTCCAAGTCCTTACATGAATTAAAGGGACTGAAATGGTCTCCTGTGTAACACGGTCATTTTGCCATTCAAACGGAGTAATATGACCGCCATGTCTACACTGGGGACCCAAAATAGAAAAAGCGTCCAAAAGGTTTGCTAGAAATCACTTTAATGTGGGTTTGAATGCCTCCCGAAATTACAGACAGTCAAAAGTTAACACAATTCCTCACTACTTCAGTGAGGCGACACTGTTTGATTTCAAAAACGATGATCGATATTTAGTTGCAGATAATGGGTATGCTGTCGATGCGAACTGGTTTTGAAAAATGTGGGTATGAGGTACGTGTATTGGCTGGATTGTGTGCAACTAAGTTAGTTTTGAACTTGCAGAGACATTAGACCAGAGATACCTTGTGGTGTTGCGTTTTTCTACGATGAGCTGACCTCAGAATAAAGCTGTTACAGCCGAAGGGTGAGCATGGCGCTTCGAAAATCCAGTTGCCTGTGAGGTGTCATTTCGCGTGCACTTAGTGAGTCTTGTTGCATCTTTTCGTCTACTGTCAGTGGATTTTTTATTCAAAGAGGATTGCTCGAGATATATGCCACAATTAGGACAACCATAGATCAAACTCAGGCGTCTGGAAAAAGTTACATTTTCGCCTTCCCGAGCTTCATTGCAGAGGGTGGAATTTGAGGTCCATCATGCGGAAGGAGTATATTTGTGAAGAGGGCATGCGGTTGAAGTGAGACTTTCAACCGTGCGCTCTTTTGCATCGTCGTGGGCAGGAGGGTTGGGACGGGTGGACATGTTGGGGAAAGACATTGTTCTCATCTTCGAACAGGAGCAAAAGGCTCTGGCGTTTTCTGATGAACTGACCAAAGTCACCCCGTTCTTTGGTGTGCACTTTGTACCCACAAAGTTTCACGTCATCATAACGATGTTTATTCCAAACGGGTGTGTGGCGTACCGTCAGGCATGAAAATGAGGTTACAGTCAGAATAAAGCGGAGTTTGTTCGTAGTTGCAGGTAATGGAACAAGTGGGCGATAGGGAAAGCCAAAAGAGGAAAGTTAGCAGTTGTAGGCGTGCTATCAAACTGGGTATAGGAATGCAGCGCCCTAACTGCACTGAAATACTTCGGTTTCCGTACAATCCCGTAGCGGACTTCATTTATGAGGTGATTAGACTGGGATGCGTGATTTTGTAAGGAGTGGGATATTTTTGGTTCAGGGGTTCAGGGTTCGGGGTTCCCTTCCCGTTGGAGATTTAATGTGGTGCAGCGTTTTATATACATTTGAATTGGTATAATTTTTGATCGTATTGTGACAGATGAGGTCAGTAAACGAACCTGAATTGCTCGGGTTGAACTTGCTTTTTTTGAATCATCTATGGCGTCAAGGCGATATGTCCGTGAATATCAAGTAACGTGTCAGGGTGTAGGGCTGTTTGACAACGGTTGTCTCAAAACCATGGATCGGGATATTTTGCATAGTTTGAACCTCATTTTTAACGGCCCGCATAGAAACTGGGTCCGGGTTTAACAGAGATAGCAGACACAAGAGAGTGCGGCCACAGTTATGGGTAGGACGGGCCAACATTGGCAGGTGGATCTGGAAAATGCACATAGCTGAGGCCTAATAATCAGCGTCGCATATAAGCACTGTCCTAGCAGTTTCAAAAAGTGGTCAAGGTAGGCGATATCGCGCACAGTTGTTACGTCCGTCGTTTGCCATTAGATCAGGCATGTGTGCATATTTTAGACTCGTATCCATCGGTCCGCATAAATAATGACCCGGTTTTTATCATAAGTAGCAAGGATAAGCGACAACACGTACAGTTAAGAGTATGACAAATTAAGTTGGATAAGGTTACCGGTTATTCGACGCCGCACATGGACACGGATGTAGCGTGTGCGACAAGTAGCCAAGTAAGGCCTGGTGTTTACTATAATTGGCGAAAATAAGCGACAGCGCATATGGTTATGGGTGGCCATTGGATTGAGCTAATTTGCATAACTGGGACCCCATGATCTGCGTCGCACATGGACACGGGCCTAGCGGCCAAGATGAGTAGTCGGGGTGAGTGATAACGACTACCGTTGTCGCTATGACCACGTTATGGTGGTCAGCGCCTAGGGAGCGTCATAATCATGATAGGAATGATGCCATTATTTTGGTAATCTACCTGCAGCTATCACATCTCTGTATTATCCATCTTATGCATACCTAGAAAGGAGGATCATCAACAGAGAAAGCGCTCGCATCGCTACTGCAGAGTCCATGCTGTTGTCTAATGAGGTTATACTTGATGGAAGTATAGCTCCATGAAAAAATGTGTCGTGGAAAGGTTCGCCGAACAAAATCATCCACTTTGTTAAATCTGAAGAGTGTAAAGCAAACAAGCGTGAGTGGCCAATCTCACAGGATGGACTTTCTAATAAACATTATTCAGAAGTTGCTTATCCTTGACGAACGCCGAAGAACGCCAAAATGTGATGAAGTGTGATTTAGTGTTCTATCTTGCGCAAATCGGTCACAAAATGAGAATCGTTGATGGTCCATGGACTTGAAATTTCACTCGTTTAAAGAAAATATGAATGAAAGGCGCAGATGGGTTGGACTAACTCCCTGTTATAGTCACAACTTCGAAAGCCCTATAGTTTCGGCGAAAATAATTTGGGTGCGCCCCTAGCCCGTGACTCTTCATTTTGAACCCATTAGCCGCACAATGTTTTTAACTAGAAAACCTTTACACGTAGAGTAAAACGTTTTGCGCCAAAACGCAGAGTTTTGTCGCGCGTGTTCTGAAACCAAAAACCATCTTCATCTACGTCCATATTTTGTCAGCCCACCAAATTTCATTGTCCACTGAAGCAATCATGTCTCTGGTGGAAAAATCTGTTGGATCGATTCCCCAGGCTCGTTGTGACCTTGGGATACCCACATATTGATCAAAATATTCGACCGGTACTCTCAACTTAATTCCTGTTTACTTTAATTAATCAGGGACACGTCAGAGAGTTTGAGAATTCCATTCCATTGTGCGAATACTGAGGGGCCTTCATTTCTGGCAGAGCTCTGTTATTTTGAACAACGCGCTGCTGAAGGCCACCGTTCAACTCATTCGTCTTTCTGTGCTATTCTATAGATACGTTCTCTTGGATGAATTTAGTGAGCGTAATACTGTGACGAAGCTTATCCTGACATGAACTCCCAAAGTGTTTGTTTAATGCAATTATATTTGTACTCTTGCAACACACACCAGTGGTTATTCCAAATTTTCCGTCGGACCCTCTCGAACTCGGTCAGTTCTGGTTTGTGTGTATAGATGTTTGTTCAGTAGCTCCCCATTTTCTACCCAAATTTTCGGATAACATAAACTGTTAATTTATTGTCATAGTGGTTGTCACGGAAGATCTCATATAATATTGTTTCTCTGGTCACGTCTTAGTTTACCAGCTCACGTCAGCATCATGACTCGATTTGCTGAATACCTCAGTGAAAGCCAAATGAAAGAACTGCGGGAAATAGCGCAGGCGATTGTCGCTCCTGGTAAAGGCATTCTTGCGGCCGATGAAAGCACTGGTATGTTTATGCGTGTCAAAATATTTGACGTTTCTTAGCTACTATGGGAAAGCGTCTCCAGAACATTGGTGTAGAGAACACCGAAGAGCATCGGCGGCAATATCGGCAACTACTATTCTCCAGTAACCCCGAGGCTTCTAAAAATATTTCTGGCGTCATCCTTTTCCACGAGACATTGTATCAGAAAACTGATGATGGTCGACCGCTGGTAGCGCTGCTGAAGGAGCGCAATATCATTCCCGGGATAAAGGTTGATAAGGGAGTTGTTCCGCTTGCTGGATCTTTGAATGAATGCACAACTCAAGGACTGGATGGTTTGGCTGAACGATGTGCCCAGTACAAAAAGGACGGTTGTCATTTCGCCAAATGGCGTTGCGTTCTTAAAATCGGACCACATACACCATCCTATCAGGCGATGTTGGAGAACGCTAACGTACTAGCTCGCTACGCTTCGATTTGTCAACAGGTGGGTTTCTATTGCTGTGTGCATGGTGTTTCATATCCCGGTTGGCCCAAACCAACGTTTTATGTGTTGATTTAGGGTACTTTAAACAGCCCGCATAAGCTCTGAATCATCGGTTAGGTCAGGTAACTTTCGGTATGTAGTCTTTTATAATTCTCAAGCACTTTTGAGGGAGGCTTAATACAATCGCTCTTAAAGCATATAAATATCTGTGCCTATATATGAGATTCTGGAGTCGTAGCGCGCAGCAAACCACCCAGTACGCCTTTGTCATATGGTTTATGGTGAAACTTACAAGAATGTGCATTTTTATCGATGTTTTTCTGTTGGAACACTGAACTTAGGAAGTCCAACAAAAGGTACACGTAAGTGAAAGTTCACACGTCATGGGCCTCCGGAAAGTAGCTTATGATCGTCAAATACTTGTTGACAAACCTTAGGCTCACTGGTCTTGGAAGTACGTCGAATGGTATTCAGCAGAAATAACTAACCATAGATATATGAACTGATCACGCTGCATAGGTTGCGCTGGCTTGGCCACGTGCTGAGTATGCCAGCCGACCGACTTCCTCGAAGTGCTCTTTCTGCACAACCGCGTGAAGGGTGGAAGAGAGCGAGAGGCGATCAAACAACGACTTGGCACCGAAGTATGAGAGCCATTACCAGCAAACTCAGCTGCGCTGGCCACTGCCATCTTCCTGGATGGGGACACGGAGACAGGCCACATCAGTGTTTAGAAACATCGTCACACATGGCTCAGTCGCACCCTCAATGGCACTCGTGCATCCAAGCTATTGCCTTCAATGCATAGCTCCTTTTTCAACCCCCCCGATTCGACAGCCCACTGACAGTGATGGATTTACGTACCGATTTATCAGCTCCCGCCTGCAACACCAGCTACAACTACTGTACGACGAGTACGCGGTTATTACAGCTGACAGTGATGATGAGCTTGGAAGTTACACAAGCCCTGTATTTGCTGTGACATGAAATCACCACATGAATCATCGAGGCACGGATGTATATACTAAATTTATTCACCTTTGGCATAGGAAGCGAATACTGCAGAGGTTTGGGATCCGTGCTAACAAAATATACGTTGAAGGCAGTCCTACTTTAAACCCTCAAAACTTGACTTCCTGTCTGAGAAATTTGAGCTTCAAACATTCGACTACTGATGTCTCTTTGGTGTAGCAGGTATAACTCAACTGCAGAATATGTGAGTTCTAGACGACTAGTCAGATTGGCATATATGACCTATCAGGCTAAATGGTGTGGATCTATCAAAGTAGCCCTTGTGTTCTATTCTTAAACTTTTGTTTGGTAAAAGATGGAATAGTATGGGCTGTGAACCAAAACTGGTTACCATCGATCTTGGGGCTGGTCGATCTTTGCGCTTTCGAAGCTGGGGTCTACGTTATTACTCTTATGCGTGATTAGAGACCCTACGGCACACGGGATGTAAAGCTACCACCTCCTAGCTGCATAGTGAACACTTGTTTGTCAGTATCTTGAGCTTATGTTGTTTGAGATTCGTTGAGGACGTTTGGTTAGTTCAGCTGCTGACATTTCGCTCCAATGCAGTGCTCAGATATATTCCATAGGTTTTTGATGTTTCCTCTTGAAATATACAAGATTTTGTGATAAGTGCTCATGAGTTCCCCCTTTTATATTTCATTATGGCATACTTCCTCCATACTTCTTTTGCGGTTACACAATAGTTTCCATCGTTTTGTTGGTGACAGCAGAGCATGAACTGTATGCCTCACGGTCATACCGAGCTAAAACCTAAGCTACATGAGGTTGGCGGTCCTGTGATATACAAAGTACTTCTGGTAACAAGCGTATCCTTTATAATGTGATTAGTTTTTTCAGTCGGAAGAGGTTTCTTCATAAACTCACTAGGTATATTCTGTAATTGCCAGTCAGGTGTTTCCTTCCCACCTGGTCAAACCTTCAGATAGACCGATGGTTAGACACTGAGAGGTAATATATATATATATATATATATATATATATATATAT